AATGTATTGGAGCTAAGCACTGAACTCACTTGAGACTGAAAAGGGGGGTAGGTGTTAAAAAGCAGCATGTTATGAGTGCTGCCTTAGCTTAAAAAATGGTTTACATCCTTCAAAAGGTTAGACTATAGAAAAAATTAACATATTAAAATTTGACCATATGAAGAGATAATCTCCATCCCTTCCATTTTGTTAGAAATACAATGACCGCCGGACAGTGGTAGTGCACGCCTTTAATCCCAGCACTTGGGAGGCAGAGACAGGCGGATTTCTGAGTTCGAGGCCAGCCTGGTCTACAGAGTGAGTTCCAGGACAGCCAGGGCTACACAGAGAAACCCTGTCTCAAAAAAAAAAAAAAAGAAAAAAGAAAAAAGAAAAAAAAAAAGAAATACAATGGCCAAATAAGGGAGTAGATCTTGGGGGCTAGCTCTAGAAATGTAATCTAATGGTTTTTAGCAAGGCAGAGGGAAAGAAGAAAAGGGCAAAACCAGTTGGTGCCATATTTGTCAGGCTCAGGCCTGTGTTTGCTCTGACTGGGGCCCTTCATTTTCATATGTGGACTTCTGTAAAAATCAAAATTAAGGTAAATAACTTCTTCGAAAGGTAAGAACCGGGGCTCAGTCACAGTCTGAACAAAGCAAAACTGTTGGGGGTTCGCCTGGTGCTATGTATACAAATGCTAAATTCTGAACCCCAAGATCTGGTTGCTGTCTAGACCAGTGAATTCATGAATTCCCACATACACTAGCTTTTGTTATGTAAACCTTGCTCCCCAATTTAAAGTTGGTTGGTTAATAAAAAGGCTAGAGCCTGTGATTGGGTAGCAGAGAGAGGAAGGCGGGACTTGAGGACTGAGTGATAGGTCTCAGGAGAGAACTGGGGGAGAGAAGGAAAAATAAGACAGAGAGGGGAGGAGCTTGCCGGGAGAAGCGGTGGGTTATGGCCGGGAGAAGCGCAACCTGAGCACAGGCTGATGGAGCGGAGGCAGCCCAAAAAGCAAGTAACAAGGGGCGCATGGTCTGGATAGAGGTGAGAACAGCATAGTACCTGCCCAATCTGGTTTACAGCTTGTAAATAAAAGACTAGGTTTCTGTGTCTTTTATAAGGGCTAGCTAGAATAGATAATTAATTTACATAAAAACTAAACTCCAACAGTGTAAATAACTCAATGTCCAATTGTCTGGGGTTCACACATGATCTGCTGGGCTCCTGCAAGGGGCTTGGGTCACTTCTTCAGCTCTGCCCTCTGCAGCACACACAGCTTGTCTTCTAGGCTCTGGCTGCTGCTCTCGGTGGCCATCCCATGCTACTGACATTTCCAAAACTGCTGGGGTCCCTTGCTGCAACCGGGCTGCACTTTCACTGGGATCCTGTGTAAAGTCTCAGCCATTCTCCAAGACTTCTTCATGCCCTCAAACCCAGTACCACCTGGGTGACTCTTACACTAGCAAGTTCAGTTGCAGCACGAGGTACAACCTAGGCCATATTTGGAACAGCTTTTGTATGCTGACTCTCAGGAAACACTTTCCAGAAGATTTCCCCTAAACAATGCTGGTCTCTGTTCATCACCACTAATTTCTCAGCTACGTAGCATCAAGTATCCCAGCAAAGCAAAAGTGTTGCTAAAACCATTGTATGGGATGGAGATGCCTGGGGGTGGGGGGTGAGCCTGAGAGATAAGAACACTTGCTGTTCTTAGGAGAACAAGGTGGTCAGTTCCTAGCACCCACATCAGTTGGCTCAAGACCACCTATAACTCAACTTCCAGGGAAGTCAACGTCCTCTCCCGGCCTCTAGGAGCCTTTGTGTGAGTGCACCAAATCTTCTTTAAAACAAGCCTTAAGATTTTGTATACAACATGAAATTCTTTATGCTGCAGGGATCTTTCAGGAGTAAGCATTCAGATACCAGTGAGAGTAGAAGACAGATCTCACAGGTGGGGGGCTGAAGCCAGGAGAGCTCCTGAAAGACTAATGCATTCTGTATTTTCATCTTTACTCTAAAACCACAAGGTGGGTGTGACCACTTCCTCTAGGCTCCACCCAATAGTTACCTAGCAACAGCCAGGAGGAGCCTGGCTCTCTATAAGAATGACTGTTCAGTCTCTCAGTCTCTCCCTCTCCCTCTCTTCCTCTCTCCTTCTGTCCTTCTCTGTCCCCCTCCCTCCTCTGCCTCTACCCCCTTCTCTAGGTCCCAAATAAACTTTCTTTTAAATTAGGCCTGTCTCATGGCTTGATTGTTCAGGGGGACAACTTGGTAGGGCCCGCCAAGGGTCCCCCTCATGCCACTGTTTTATAAAACACAACAGTGGGGCAGTCAAGCAAGCAAGCAAGAGTTTACACAAGAGATTATGGCAGTCCACATGTAGTTAGGGACAATGGCCTGTTGTTTCAGCTCTTCCTCCAGCTCACTCTGTTCCAGGTAGCAAGTGAGGGTCCCGTAGGTAAATAGGGCAGTACAAACAGTGCTTTCAGCAAATAACTAAATAATTCAACAAATCAGTATCTAATATATAACCGTACAGACTTTCTATGCCTGCCCCAGCTCTGAATAAAGACACGGAGACTTGTATTTATTAGTTATAGCTTTAGGCCTTTGCTTACTCTTGTTCCCAACTACAACTTAAATTAACCCATATAATTAATCAACCCAATCTATATTCTGTCATGTGGCTCGTCAGCTACCTCTCCATCAGTTCTGGCTTCTCCCTCTGAGTGCACTGGCGAATCTCCTGTGCCTGACTCTTTCCCAGAGTCCCACCTTCTACTTCCTGCCCAGTTGTAGGCTGTTCAGCTCCTCATTAGACCAGTCAGAAGGTGAAAGAAGGAGTGTCTACAAAATGCCCAGGAGAGAGATGATCCTATAAAAATAACACCACCAAAGTCTGGGCTGTGCTCCACTCTCTGCTCGCACAGAAATCACCATCTGTATAATACAAAGGCAACCACTATACAGAGCACAAAAAGATCACCCCAACACTAATAATTGGTGTTTTCTACCTTATTCTATTACATTTTGTTTGCTTACATGTGAGAGTGTGGGGATTCCTTTGTGTGTGTGTGTGTGTGTGTGTGTGTGTGTACAAGAAATAAAGGCAGCAACCAGGAGACCTACCAGCTAACTAAAGGTGAGTCAGGTCAGTCACTCAAGGACCCCATGAATCACCTGCTGGGTAACAAAGCTCTATGGGACATATCAAGTATTACCTAAAGTGGGAACTTATGGGTTATTTGAAAAGTCAGTTGTGTCAGATGGTGTTTTGCTGGGGCAAATGTGTGAAGGAACATTTTGCTGAAGCAGACACAGGTGAAAGGCTAAGGCACACTTGTGAAGGAATGTGTTGCTGAAGCAGACACAGGAGAAAGGATGTTCTGCTAAAGCCAGCACATAAAAGGACATGTGATGATTGTTCACTAACGACACGCATGTATTGGTCCGCCTTACACTGCGTAGCTGAACTGCATTTGTCAGGACTCCACAGAGAGAAACGCACCAAAACACTTCTGGTGGTGTTCTGGTGGCTTCTTGCTACTTCCTTGTGTTGATTGGCAGAGTGGTGTCAGCTGATACAGATTCAAGTGCTGAGGCAAGACCTGTGGTGAGGCAAGACCTGTGGAGGACATATGATGTTTGGCGGGGGCATATATAGGACCCAATGCACAGTGACAAGAGACTGGCTTGCATAACTAGCTTTGCAACACCTCTTGGTCTCGAGTATTCGTTGATCTTGGCTTCATTAAGAGAGACAGAGAGCTTTTCCTGGCGTCCATGCTGGTTGGCCCTGGGCACTCCTGCTGACTCTTAGCTTCAGCAGCGACCTGGTTGTCTCTGTTAGGTCATGCCACTGCTGCTGATTCCTGTTTGCTATCCCTGTTAGCATTCTGTCTAAACTCCACCCCACAGTTACCTGGTAGCCAGGTAGGCCTGGCCCACTATAAAAGGGGCTACTTGTCCCCTTCTTCCCTCCCTTGATCTCTTGTGTTCATCCCTTCCCCCTCTCTCCATGTGTTTATGGCCGGCCTCTACTTCTCTACTCTCTCCCTCTCTCTGCCTCTACTACCCTCTTAATTCCCCCTCCACATGCCCTGTGGCTGGTCCCTCAGGGAGAAGGGATGTCTGATCGGGGCCGCCGAGACATCCCCTTCCCCCATACCTCACCACCCCTCCACACAACATACCTCCCAATCTTTGTCTTTTTATAAACAAATCAATCCTGACACTACTGAACTAGACTGTTGGTATATCTGTGAAGTATTTATGAGTGGATTGAGCTGCCCCTGATGAATTCTATAAACTGAACTGCTGATTTGCAGACAACGCAGGTGGGAATTGATCCAAAGAACAATTTCTAAACAGGTCCACTTCCCCTGTATCCTAATAAACCTTTGTTTTCCACTACCTCTGATGGATAGTAAGCTAGCCGAGTTGGAAAATCTCTTTCCCTGTGTACCTAGGCTGGGAGATTCTGGCTCTGAGTTGTCACTGGTTACTCCATAAAATTGTCCCTACAATCCTTTTTTCAGATAAGATCACTGCCCTTGGAGACTCAGGCACTTGCCTTCCAAAGCCCTTAACCAGTTTGAGTCATAATTTCACCCTGGGTGGTCTGATTCCTGATGCATTCCCAGATAAAGCTTCCTTTCCAGACTGCATGAGGTACTACTACTTAAGTAACAACCCAAGAAAGAAGGTTCAAGGCCAAGTTTCTCAGGATTACTAGATCAGAGTAACCTGAGGGATTCTTTTGTAAAACTATTGGTCAGGGGCAGTGTTCCTTGCAACACAATCATTGTTACCTGCATTTCAACATCACCTTGAAAAACGTAATCATTACTATTGCTTAGCTCTTCTGCATACAGGCCACTGTATTCCATAAACTCTGAGGCGTTTCACACCGCGATTGCCAAGGCAACAAGTAGAACAGGGTTCTTTCGTGGTTACAGCCTCCAGAAGTCAAGAGGCACCATTCATCCCATAGTATTCTGATTTTTCACTGTGTCAGGATGATGGCAACCGTGAGCCTGGAGCCCGCGGGCCGCAGCTGCTGGGACGAGCCGCTGAGCATCGCCGTGCGCGGCCTGGCCCCCGAGCAGCCCGTCACGCTGCGCGCCGCCCTGCGCGACGAGAAGGGCGCGCTCTTCCGAGCCCACGCGCGCTACCGCGCCGACGCCGCTGGAGAGCTGGACCTGGCGCGCGCGCCCGCGCTGGGCGGCAGCTTCGCGGGGCTCGAGCCCATGGGGCTGCTCTGGGCCATGGAGCCCGAAAGGCCTTTCTGGCGCCTGGTCAAGCGCGACGTGCAGACGCCCTTCGTGGTGGAGCTGGAGGTGCTGGACGGACACGAGCCCGACGGCGGGCGGCAGCTGGCGCGGGCGGTGCACGAGCGTCACTTCATGGCCCCCGGGGTGCGGCGCGTGCCCGTGCGCGAGGGCCGTGTGCGCGCCACGCTCTTCCTGCCCCCAGGTGAGCAGCCCTCCCTCCTGTGCTCACAACCTGGGATGCTTGAGGGGTGCAGCGCCTGATAAAGTCTTGCGGACATGGGTGAATCCTAACTGATAGTCACCGCAGGAGCAGCTTCCAAAGTTGCTTAGGAAAGCAGAGCATCAAAGCTCACCTAAGCACCTAGAAATCTGCACTGTGATAAGACCCCTGGGTGCTTGTGCACAGGTTCACATCTGACATCTGTTGTTCAGGCAAAGTGGGTCAGCGCGAGCACCTGGGAACTTTCTGATTTGCAGGACTTTAGTGCCACTCAGAGTCCAGAATCTCAAAGTGTGGATAGAGAGTGCCAGGGAGTTTTGTATCTCAGGTGATTCCGAGGTAACTTTCCCAGGGTCAAATCCACAGCTTTGAGACGGGCTGTATGTAGTTCAGTGACTCACATAGAGAGAATTTGGCCAGTGATGTTCATGACTGAAGGAAAGGGGACCAATGACGGAAGGGGATGTCTCAGCGGGCCCATGCCGAAGCATCTCCCTGAGAGACCAGCCACACGACGGTATAGCATAAAATAGAGTTTATTTGGGGCATGGGGAGGGGAGCCAGGAGGGTAGTGGAGGGAGAGAGAGAGGGGGGGAGAGCGAGAGAGAGAGAGAGAGAGAGAGCGAGAGCGAGAGAGAGAGAGAGAGAGAGAGAGAGAGAGAGAGAGAGAGAGAGAGAAGAGGCCGCGAAAGGGGGGGGGGGAAGGGAAGGGGGAGGGGGCAGAGGACAATCTGCAGGCACAGCATCAACGGGGCAAGGATGGGGCAGGCAGCCCCTTTTATAGTGGGCAGGCTTACCCAGTTGTTGCCAGGTAACTGTGGGGAGGAGCATACCTGGCCGCTGCCAGGTCACTGTGGAGGTGGAGTTTAGACAGAATACTAACAGTGACCCTTTGATTGTTGAAATGCTGATGAAAGCAATTTGAAGATCATCCCGGGATAGAAGGACGCTCTGTTTCCTAAACATTGCTTAATGCTTAGTGCCGCAAGTTTCGACGGCCCCAGTGTTGCTGCAGAAGATGGAAGGGATGTATATGACTCTCTGGCACACAGCCTTAAAATAGGATAGCTGCATATTTATGCAGTAACACGGAAAAGTCCACCAACAGGAAAGGGCTTTCATAAGAGATTTCGATGCTGTCTTCTCTTACCTTCCTCATGGTTATCTATATTTCCTTTCTCTTCTAAGTCTGTCATAACCTGGTATCCCAATTAGGGCACTATTTTTTAAAAGTTCAGAGCTTCCCGAGGTCTGGTTAACTCTGGGGATTACCACCAGTTTCCTTTTCCAATACACTTTTTTCCACTCTCTCCTGATCCCAACTTGCAGTTGGTTATTTCCCTTGTCAGAGATTCCTTTCACACTGTAGTCTGTGTTAGAGCAAGCAAACTCTTGCTATTCAGGGAGCACCCACAAATCGTGCTTGTGTGTGCATGCATGCCTGTGTGTGGTGTCTCACTAAACCTATTATGGGAAAAATTTGTAACTTTGGGGTGGGAAACTGGGGAAGAGTTTCCTACAGGGTCAGAAAAGAGTAAAGGAAACATAAAACCTCAGTGAGACAGAGTCTAAGGCAAAGTTCAACGGAAGCAGGGGCGGAGGTGGTGTTGGGATTGCTACAAGTCTGAGGCTTGCCTAAGCTACAATAGTGATTTTCAGATCACCATGAGCTACAGAGTAAGACCCTGTATCAAAGTAAAGAAATAAGGGAAAGTGGTGATACTGACTATACATATCAAACACATATAATAAGAATGCAGAATTTGACAAAGGAAATTAGTGTAAGGTAATAAAGACACAAAACCTCATCGGAAGACAGATAAGGAACTGTAAGGAGCCTCTACACATTAGCCATGGTACAAGTGGCTCTCCTACTGTCTCAGTTTTGAAAGAAGTATGTCCAGTAAAAGTCTAGAAGTCCAGAAGCTTTTAAGCAAGTACAGATAAACATGGAGTAAGGTGGATAGTTTGATGTCAACCTTGAAAATTGCAAGCCTTGGGCTGGAGAGATGGCTCAGCGGTTACGAGCAGTTGGATGCTCTAATAGAGGCTGTGGGTTCAATTCCCAGCACCCACATAGCACCTCATAAGCATCTGTAACTCTAGTTATCGGTGATCTTCTGATACCCTCTTCTATCATCTTTGGGTACCAGGCACAATGGTAGTACACACACACACACACACACACACACACACACAGAGAGAGAGAGAGAGAGAGAGAGAGAGAGAGAGAGAGAGAGGCAAAATATTCATTCACATAAAATAAAAAATCTTTTAAGATAACTTTAACCCAGGCAGAGGTGGCACACACCTTTAATCCCAGCACTTGGGAGGCAGAGGCAGGCGGATTTCTGAGTTCGAGGCCAGCCTGGTCTACAGAGTGAGTTCCAGGACAGCCAGGGCTACACAGAGAAACCCTGACTCAAAAAACCTAAAAAAAAAAAAAAAAAAAAAAAAAAAAAAGATAACTTTAAAAAGTCACAAGACCTGCCACAGAATATACAGATATTACCTACTAATGTAGAATTCCTTTAAAGATATTTTTACAGGTAAACCAATGGTGGACCTTGATATCATAATAGTTGCAAGATCAAATTATAATATTCTTTTTTTTTTGTTTTTTTGTTTTTTGTTTTTTTTTTTTGAGACAGGGTTTCTCTGTGTAGCCCTGGCTGTCCTGGAACTCACTCTGTAGACCAGGCTGGCCTCGAACCCAGAAATCCGCCTGGCTCTGCCTCTCAAGTGCTGGGATTAAAGGCGTGCGCCACTGCCGCCCGGCAAATTATCATAATCTTATTACAAGCATCACTAACAGATTTTCAGTGGTTTAAGTAGGAAAAGAACATATTGGAAGTCACAGATATAAGAATAAAGACATTGGAAATTAGGACCAAGAAACTGAGTGGTTCCGAGGGAGATTGCACGAAGAGTCAAACATCCAGTCCCCCAGCCAGTCAGTACCTGACTTCCATAACGGTGGGCAGGCAGAGCTGCTGTGGTCTCTGTACAAATGCTGTTGGGCTGAGAATATGGTCAGCTGTCTCTCCCACCCATGTCACTCCAAGGGCATGGCCCCTCTGATATAATATCCAGTAAGGTCTTCTATCGAAGTAGGGAAGGCGGTTTGGATAACCACAGCTCCCCTCTCTGCTCCCATTAAAATGAAAGAATGAATTCTAAAATTCGCCTGAGGACTCTTGTTTGTTTTGTTTTTAAGGCACTGGACCCTTTCCTGGAATCATAGACCTTTTTGGAGTTGGAGGTGGCCTTCTGGAGTATCGGGTGGGTCTGCTGGCCGGGAAGAGCTTTGCCGTCATTTGCTTATTACAACTATGACGACCTCCCCAAGAGCATGGACGTTATCCACCTGGAGTATTTTGAGGAAGCTGTGACCTACCTGCTCAGTCACCCTCAGGTTAGCTGTTACTTTTGCCTTTGGTTTAGAAACTATGTTCCTAAAACAACTACTCACCGAGGTAAGATTTTCAACTCAGTTCTGAGACATTGTCAAATAATCAGAGCCTCTTTTCCCAAGTCAGGAAGAAAAGTGCACAGTACATGTGCACAGTCCGTGTATTCATGAGGATAGCAGGCTGGAGGGGTGTCTCAGCCATTAAGATCACTTGCTGATCTTCCAGAAGGCTAAAGATGGGTAGCCAGCACCCAGGTCAAGTGGCTCATAATACTCTTAACTCTGGCTCCAGGAAATAAGAGTATAGCTGTGCACATGTGAGCACAGAGACATAGATGTGGCAACACACACACACACGATCTGACAACAACAAAAAACACAAAAAACAAAACTCAGGCTTGGCCCAGGCCTACCACACGAGGGCTAGGATCCCTTAGGGGCACCAGTTTTCTGTGTTTTGTGAGTGTCTCCAACCTCTGATTGTCTTCTAAGCCATAACTGACTCATATTTGTGAAGCCTCTGTAGTAGGACCTACCACTAACTAGTAAATGTCAATCACGTGGCCAAACAGTTAGAGCTGGCTACAAGAAGAAAAAAATCAGGACCACATGCGTTTAGAGTGGAGTGTGGGGCAACACAGGGATGGTTCTAGAAAAAAGAAAGCGATAGTTGGTGTGACAAGGAAACTAAGAGGCCACTGATGAAGGCTAGCAGAAGTGAGGGCTGATGGGAAGAGCCTTATGTTGCAAGGGTTGAAAAACTCACCAGTTAGAAGTGGTAGGTGTAAGAATCCGGGCGCAGTTTGGACAGAAAACACAGGCTGATCCAGTTCCACAGGAGGGGGTTTATTTAGGGAGGGGAGTGGGAGAGAGAAGCGGGGGAGATGGCAGAGGAGGAAGAGAAGAGGTTGGGGAGAAGCGGAAGAGAGGGAGGTTGGGGTGGTCTCAATTATTTAAGTGGGTGATGACGTGTAACTTCCCAGGTGTAGGTGAGCGAGACAGGTGAATCCTGGGAGTGGTTTCCGAATGGCAGCCTCCACAGAGACATTCTGCTTCAGAGATAAAATAGACTTTTTTTTTTTTTTTTGGTTTTTGGAGACAGGGTTTCTCTGTGTAGCCCTGGCTGTCCTGGAACTCACTCTGTAGACCATTCTGGCCTCGAACTCAGAAATCTGCCTGCCTCTGCCTCCCAAGTGCTGGGATTAAAGGCGTTCGCCACCACCGCCCAGCGACAATAGACTTCTAAAACTGAGGGCACATCACAGAAACCATTAACGGAAAGTCATAAAGAAGATATACACCGCAGGTGCAAAAACAGGAGATAAGATATTGACTGGGTTTGTCTAAACCAAACTTAAAGGATACTTAGTTACAATCTTAAACTTTGCGTGACCGACCCTGTAAGCTAGTAACAAATGGTGAAATCCTCCAACTTAGAGAAGCACAATTCCCTGCCGAGGCTTTACCTAGCCTCCTGAGGTTCTCATTCCTGTGCTAAACTGGAGGCTGCAGCCTCCAGCCCCAGAGCAACTCAGACAGGCAGATGGACTACAGAAGCAGAGTACCTTACACCCAGGATAGATAGCAATGGCCCATGGCCTAGTTTCTGAATGGAGATAAAACAGGATATGAAAAATGAACTCCTTGGTTCCAGATATTGCTTCATGGAGTCTGTGAGACTTAGAATTGAGCCTCATCTTACCACGGATGACTGATTTGAGGAGAGCTAATCACCTTTGAAAGCCAGGATGGTAGAGCGAGATTCACGATTGCATGCCCACCTTTGTGGAAGTCAGGTGCTGGTACGATGGGGAAACTAGATGTTTGGCTCTACGTGTAATCTCCGTTCAGTTTCCTGGTCCTAACTTCCAATGTCTTTATCGATTGTATTCTTATGTGACCTCACAAACGTTCTTAATCTCTTTCCTTTCTCCATCTCTTTCTTAGGTCAAGGGTCCAGGAATCGGCCTGCTGGGGATTTCCAAAGGGGCTGAGCTCTGCCTCTCCATGGCCTCTTTCCTGAAAGGCATCACAGCCGCTGTCATCATCAATGGTTCCATGGTTAATGTTGCTACAACCTTAAAATACAAGGATGAGAATCTGCCCCCTGTGGGCACTGACAGAAATCGAATCAAAGTAACCAAAGATGGCCTTTCAGATATCGTGGATTTTCTGAATGTTCCTCTGGAAGGAGCTGACCAGAACTGCATCATCCCCGTGGAAAGGTCTGACACAACCTTCCTGTTCCTCGTTGGTCAGGACGACCACAACTGGAAGAGCGAGTTCTATGCCAGAGAGGCCTCCAAACGCCTGCAGGCCCATGGGAAGGAGAAGCCCCAGATCATCTGCTACCCAGAGACAGGCCACTATATCGAGCCCCCTTACTTCCCCTTGTGTAAGGTTTCGATACACTCTTACTTTAACGTTGTTGTCATCTGGGGAGGGGAGTCCAGCGCTCACGCCACGGCCCAGGCGGATGCTTGGCAGAAACTCCAGACTTTTTTCCATAAACATTTGAGTGGGGACAAGAGGACAATCCCAGGAAAACTGTGATTTTCTTTGAGTAGAGACGTTTCTGGTGCTGATCCCTCCTGAGAATACCTGGCCTTGTTAGGTTATATATGTATTTTTTTTCTCCTTTTTTTTTTTTTTTGTTTTTCAAGAAAGGGTTTTTCTGTGTAACCCTGGCTGTCCTGGAACTCACTCTGTAGACCAGGTTAGCCTTGAACTCTCAAACTCAGAAATCTGCCTGCCTCTGCCTCCCAAGTGCTGGGATGAAAGGCGTGCGCCACCACCGCCCGGCTTTTTTTTTTCTCCTTTTAATGAAGCCTTGAAGTTTTTCCCCACAAAGTTTTCATGGACTGTGTTTGAAGAAGGATTGGGTCTTACTTTCTTATGATGCCAAGGACTGAGCCCAGGGCTTGTGCATAGTAGGCTAGCACTCTGCCACTGAGCTATCCCATTGCACCTTAGTGGGCAGCAATTTTAAAGAACCTTGAGAGGATGAGAAGCATTTCTGCGTCATGGCACAGCATGGAACTGATAATGCATTAGTGCCTCCTACATAATACAAGCCAATAACTAGTTACTAAATGACTGTTGTAAATAAATCGTCAACCTCAAGCCAGAAAACATGTGCAGGAGCCCCTCATGCATGTGGGTTCTGCATTGCAGATTCTAACACCCATGGATTGAACCTCCTTGAAAACTAAATCTCCACTGAACATACAGGGGCCTTTGTTCCTTAAGCCTTAGGCTCTAGTATAGGAGCTATTTGCAGTGTTTGTGCTATACTTAGGGTCCTAGGTCATCTGGCTGTGATCTTAATGTTCTAACATAGATTTTCTGATTAGAAGCCAAATCCAAACTATTTTATATGAAGCATGTGAATCACTGCAGTTTTGGGGTCCAGGTACCAATCTCTCATGAATGCAGCTGTAATGTAAAACTCATTATAATATCAGATTTGGGGCTGGAGAGATGGCTCAGTGGTTAAGAACACTGACTACTCTACCAGAGGTCCTGAGTTCAATTCCCAGCAACCACACAGTGACTCACAACCATTTGTAATAGAATCCGAGGCCCCTTTTCTAGTGTTTCTGAAGACAGGGACAGTGTACTCACATATATAAAATAAATAAATAAATCTTAAAAAATATATCATATTTTAATTTTTCCTCCTAGAATGGAAGTCATAACACTTTAGTTACAGACTATTTACTAGTTAAAAATGAAACGAAGCCGGGCAGTGGTGGCGCACGCCTTTAATCCCAGCACTTGGGAGGCAGAGGCAGGCGGATTTCTGAGTTTGAGAGTTCGAGGCTAACCTGGTCTACAGAGTGAGTTCCAGGACAGCCAGGGCTACACAGAGAAACCCTGTCTCAAAAAACCAAACCAATAAATAAATAAATAAATAAATAAATAAATAAATAAATATGAAACGAATAAAAATTTAAAGCAAATATACAATATACCTAGTTTTGTAATATCTTCTCAAATGAATAAGGATTCTTCTAGCAAAGCAATTGTATTGGGTTCTTGCTAAACCTATAGACATATAACTTCAGTATTTCAAAAGTTGGAAAAACATTTGGATTAGGATTACGTGATTTTTAACAATGATAATTGTGAAAATACATAAAAGTGACACCACCTGATATAAATAGTCCAATAAACCTAAGTGTTTCTTAAAACATTAACTGTATTTGCACCTTAATTTATTATTGTTGTGTTCTGATTCTTTAAAAAAATTTTTAAAAGGCAACCAACTGTTAGCATTCTGTCTAAACTACACCCCCACAGTTACGTGGCAACAGCCAGGTAGGCCTGGCCTACTATAAAAGGGGCTGCTTGCCCCTCCTCTCTCTCTCTTGATCTCTTAAACTCTTGCTTTCTTGTCTCTTGCTTTTCTCTTGCCCTCTTGGTCCCTTCCCCCTTCCCTTCCCCCTCTCTCCATGTGCTCATGGCCGGCCTCTACTTCTCTCTGTCTCTCTGTCTGTCTGTCTCTCTCTCTCTCTGCCTCCCTCTCAATCTCTCTCTCTTTCTCTCTATCTCTCTCTCTCCCTTTCTCTGCCTCTACTACACTCTTAACTCCCCTCCCATGCCCTGAATAAACTCTTTTCTATACTATACCGTGATGTGGCTGGTCCCTCAAGGGGAAGGAATGTCTCAGTATGAGCCTGCTGAGACACCCCTTCCCCCATACCTCACCACACACCTGTAGGACATATTCTCTTCATCTTTATATTTTTATAAATACCACCAACTCCATATATATATATATATATATATATCCTTTGAAACTCAAGATCATTAGGTGTTTGTCACAGAGCCCTGAAAGAATGCGGCGGACTACAGCCTGATGCTGTAAACAGTCTTACTTCAGTCTCAGTGTACTTTAACAAAGAAAGCAATGATCCAAGGAAAGTTGTTTGAGTTCAGAAAAACATGTAGATAAATTCCAGCAAGCACATATTAAATATTAACAGAGCAGCCCTTTCCTAGAACTTTCTCAGGACAGACAATTTAAACAGGATTGTCTGACACGTACTTTAGATTGTATCTGGGAAAGCATGAAAGTGAGGCAGAAGGCCTTGTCAAGACTCAGGGCACACTGAGGACAGTGTTCAATATCTCTTTTCAATAGATCGAATGTTCCAACTTCCAACAAGAATAAACATGTCCTGTAAAGTCCATGTCAATGGAAAATTACCCCCTGACCTCCTGCCCTTCCCAGAAGGGTGATGCCACACGGTCCCAAGAAAACTCACAGGATCCATCCCTTTCCAAAAACGGTGAAGACACATGGTTCCAAGAAAAACCTTGGGGTATCAGACATATGGAGCAGCTGTCTGACAGCTGATAGCTCCCCATTAGAGGGTCCCCCACAGCCCATCAATGCCAACTGACCAGTTTATCGCCAAAAACACCTGCCCTATTCAAACTATATAGGCTTCTGCCCGAGTGCATTCACCACTGCTTCTTCTGTGTGAGCAAGCGGCCCCAATGCATTGGACTAATTAAATCCTCTTTCGGTTGCATCAATTGCCCTCCGAGAGCTTCCTTCATGGGGTCTCAGTAGTACAGCCGCTGGCCTCCACAATCTTACATATTGAATGTAAATATTTGTCACAAGAGTCACAAAATCACGTCCAAGAACAATCCAGGGAACAAAATGGACCTGAGGTAAAACGGCCCTCTGCCTTTTCTCCTGGAGCCTCTCTCAGATTTCCCCAAGGCATTGTTTACCATGTTTGTGTTCCCCTTTGCTCTACCTTCCTTATGAATTAGAAGCTACAGTTACAAAATATGCAGAAGAGAGAAAGATAAAAGAAAGTTTAAGCCTTGGAGCAACTATAATAAACACACGCAGGGCTTTGGAAGTGGGGGTAAAATTCTTTCCTCTAGCCAGCATGTTCAGTAACCTGAAATCAGACCCAACATTGACACACTGGAGACCCATGCACTTACAAAAGATCTCAGCCAAGTCCCAGCCAAGAATGCAGCCTTGTAGAGAGGAAGGAGAAGACTAAGACACCAGAGCCCTTGCAACTTGTCACACAGGGAGTCCAAGAGGCAGAGACAGGAGTTGGATCTTTAAAGTAGCATTAGTCAGAGAGCTGATAATAAGAGAGTTCAGTGGTTGGACACCCTAAAGTGCCTTCCTCTTCATCTTCACCCATCACGTTACAGAGGAATGGGGGTACAGAGGGATGGGGGTACAGAGGGGTGGGGGTACAGAGGGGTGGGGTTA